TCATTTAAACGCACAACAAAATAGCGCTCGAAAACTTTCAATATACTGCTATACTTTGTGCTATATTTTCCATAACTTGTTGATTACTTCTTTAGTTTCTTTGTTGTTTTGCCCATTGCGTGTGCTTCCCCAATTCGAGTGAAAGTTGGCACGCGCCACTGAATGATGGGGAAAGTGAATTCGGAGAAAGTGGAGAACAGACAGCGTGGCAAAAACACAAGGAGGGTGAAGGATTTCAAACAGTAGACAGTGGCACGCCTTGGCTCTCGGCCAACATGGAGTGCGCAACAGTTTAAAAAGTAAGCGCCAACCGGCAGGGCACGACATGTCGGCACTGAAAGGACAACAAAGTGGATAAAATTCCATGGGAACGGGAATGGAAGTGAAGCTATGAAGACGGGCAGACAAACTGTTGCTGCCTTCCCCTTTGGCTTAGCATATTTAATCGTGCGGAAGCAATCGATTGCCGCTAAATGGGTGGCAATTTGTACCTAATGACGTCATTACATGCAACAAGCAAACAGCCAACAGCCGCAGGACATTCCTGGCCAAGTAGAAAGGCTAATGTCCGCACCAGCAGCCCGTTCATAAATCAATGCTCTAAACTTGGCAAAAAAAAACCGCACGCGACCTTTTCTCGGGCAGACCAGACCAACAGCCTCTGCACGGAGAGAAAATAGTTATATTTTATAAGAAAAAAAATATTATTTACAGCAAAACTTATCAAGGAAAAATAACTACATACTTTTATCCCTCAAAAAAAAGATATTTTTTATATTAATAAAAAAAATATATATAAAATAATAGTTATTAAAAACTAAAACGCAACATTTTTTTCTCTCTAAGCAGCAGTAGAAGCGCAAAAAACTTGAGTAGGCAGAACGAATTTATCACTTGGCCAGCTTAATGGCTCTTGAACCAAACAAAAGCGTATTACAAAGTGTTTAGCATGTTGTTTTTCCACTCCTCTTTTTAACATTTCACTTGATCCCTCTTTTGTGGTATGTGCGTGTGCGTGTGCGTGTTCTTGTGATTGTGTTGATGGCCAGGCGAAAAAAAAAGGAAAACGCATTAAGAGATGAAGGTGAAGTCCTAAGGTTTGAGTGAGCCCTCAGAACTACTGTGAGTATGAAGCCACAAATGGAGAAACAAGTAAGTGAATCTGTTCATTAGACTAGATTAGCAATAAATCACTTACAAGTTTATTAATACAAATTAAAAAAGGAATATAACCTCTTTATATATATATTTTCTAAGTACCTGCATCAATTTCTGATGACTATTTAAATTTTTATTGACTTTACAATTTTAATTTGTTTGCTTTTTATTCCTAATACTGAACATGTTGTTTAGGTTAACTTAATTTTGTGGAATCTACCTGAGAAAAATATGACTTTTAGAAGTTAATTAAATCATTTATTAACATTTTCAATTATTCTCCTTTTATTATGGAAAACGACTTTCACCTTTGGCCTTAGCTTACGTTTGTTTACCAGTTTCTCGTCCTCATATTGTGTTTTCTTTTACCATTCCCCCTAACCTTATCCCCAGTTTCTTGGCCAAATGTATGCAAATAGAAATGTCGCACATATTTCATAATTTTCATATTCTTCATGCCGAAAAGCAATTTGCATTTGCTTTTTTGCCGTTTTTGTTGTTCTTGCTGTTGGGAACAAATTGGTTGCCATTTCTGTTTATCATACATGGAAATTCACAGAGCAAGCGCATGAAATGGGAATTATGGGCCAAATTAGCTTATTTGACATTTGAATGTGCAAATATTTGGAAAAGCGTGAACGCAAAGTCGCTACGCATTTTTCATGCCCGACTGCAGTTGTTGGAAATCGATGGAGCTTTAAGATTGTGCGGTTCCTATTGAGTGGGTATTTCGTTTATCTGCAGCTGTCAGTTAATTTCCGTTCAAGTAGCCATTAAAACAATCATGACGTCGCTTAGGCTTACACCGCCACTCACAGATACACACACACCCACACACACACACACACACACATACAAGCAGTAACGCCATTTTATGGCCTGCCATTAACAGCTTGTTGTCGCAGCAGCCATTTAATAATAATAAAATGGTAAAAATGACTGAAATCCAAGGGAGTAACTCAAATACACGGCCATCCAGACGGAGACTTGTCAACACACCGGATTCAGCCTCCTTCTTACTAAATAAAGAGGCTGCTCCGACTTCATGGCCAGTTGAATGATGAGGCAGAAAGCGCCTACCGCCCCCCGCCCATTTGATTATTAATATCGAATCCAATTAATCTTCACCATTTGACTAAGTCAAGCCCACAACATGTGGCGCATGTCGAGTTATCATAAATGATTTCGACTTGCGGAAAGTTGGTCAAAAACTTTCTCTTGCCAAGTCGATTTGTTGAAGAGACTTCTGCCTGAATTGGCGCAAATTTTCAGGGACAACCAACTAGTCTGAGGCAGTCTGTCAGGGGCAGGACCCAATCCATAATCCCCATCAGCCATGTCTAAATTAGGTAGAGCATTAACTTGGTTAATTACAAAGGTGTCTGGCTTAAAGCTGACTAATTGGCTTAGACTTGAGAGAATATTTGGGATTTTGTTTTGAAACGGAAAATTTTATTTTGTTGCTGACTTTGCTTTGATTGTTTTTTAATCTTGTTTACATTTTTTTTATTTTGATATGCCACATTAAATGTTTATTTAAACTTAAGAAGATAATAAATTTTAATTATCTTTCACCGTTCTATTATAAGGGTTCAATAACATTTAATGTTAAATATCTAATTTATTATATGCTGAATTTATTTATTTAAATTTAATTTTAAAGGTTATTTAATTTTATTTAATTTATCTGCTATAAAATCATTATGCTCATACAATTTGGAATGCTTTTTTTATACATTATTTTTCATTAGATTCTATCATCACAATAGTTTTATTAAGGATTACTAAATTTAATATTTAATATTTAAGTTTGGCATTGGCCCCATATTAAAAAAAATCGTTAATTGCTTCACATGACTTGCTAAGTGATAACAAGTATTACTCTTGTCTTCTTGTTGGAACACAATAATTTGGATTTTAAGTTATCAATTTAAGTTAAAGCTATTGTTATTTTAATGGAATATTTCGTTTTAAGTCGTATGAATATTTTGTTTTGTATGTTACTTGTACCGTTTTTACTTATAGATTCACATATGTTTTAGAAACAGGTACCACAAATTCTGTTCAACTTTGCGTTCGATTGTTGGAAATTCGATTTGAAATGCGTTTTCGAGCGCTGCGTTTTGAAAACAACTCGCGGGGAAAGCGTTTCAGCGGCTGATTAGATACGCTCGCCCTCGCATTCGGATAAGGACTGAAGTCCTGCCGAGGACCCTTTTCGGCAAAAGGTAGTGGCGCAAGCTCGGAAAGCGAAACGGAAATGCGGAAACTCACCACAGTGGTGGGTTTTGTGGGCGCCAAACAGCTGAGATGCCGGCAACCGTTATTGTTTACGTTTTTCCCAAAAGAGAGATGGGTTTTCACTCAAGGCGAGAGCAAGGAAAAGCTTGGCGAGAGCAGGAAAAGCGTTGAAGGAAGACTGTTAAGTGAAAGCTTTCCACTAACAGCAGCTTTCGACAGTTCACCCGAATTTCAAATCCCCGCTGTTAGAAATAAAACTGCATAAATTAACTGCAAAACATGTGAACCACAAATTCAATTAAAACTTTGTTGTGTTGACAAATTAGCATGAGGAATGCCCGAAAACTCCTTGGGACAGGGTAACAAATAGAGAAGTCAACCAATCAGTAGATGTGGAGAAGGGTGTCCCCCATTTGAAGGCCAGGTGAGAGGCACTTGAGTTGGCCCACCTGTTGGGCTGGCTTATAAATCCAAGTCCCCGACCCGCAAGGCCAAGCAATTTAACCTTTGGGCCAAGAGGAGAACCCACACCTAAGCTAAATCTTCCTGGCATGGGGCATCAATCATTCTGGAAGGCAACCGTTTCATTTGGTAGGCGAGTCAATCTTGTGAGCGCCACCTTAACCAATTACCTAACCGCAGATGAAAAACTTGGTAAATCGTGGCAAAAGGGGCGCCCGTCCGTATTCAACCTTTGTTTGCTCCGCAGATAAGACTTGCCACAAACATTCCGGCCCTAAGTTATGCAGAGCGACGCACTCAAGCCCAACCCAAGTGGAAATGGATCCGGAGAGTTCATAAAATATTTATTTATGCGGATGCTGCGGCTCGATCTGGGGGCCCAAAGACTGATTGAAACGAGTTCATTTGTGTGTCAGAAGGTCGTCAGTCTTCCCATTTGTTAAACGTTTTGTGCGCCTGACGACGTCGAACGCATATACATATATCCCTGGATTTGCGCAATAATCAATCATAATGAATGGCCAGGTGGAGGTGGTCAAAAGGGTACCCGCTTTCCCACACATGAAACGGCAAATTGGTGGTCCTTAAGGTTTACTTTAACTCCCACCTTCGTGACCCCCAGGATAGAGGAAGTGAAAAGTTTTCTCCTTTCCTTTAAGTTGGCCAACTTTCACCCAACTCAGATTCTGACGTACGTATTTATTGCGGTTGCTTTTGTTTTTCCATCCATTAAAAAAAATGGCGGCGAAACTTTCCCCAAAGTCATAAATGCATTAAACTGGGCTTTAATCCCTGGCGATTTTTGTACGAAATCTAAAACAAAAATTTGCAAAATATACATTTTAAGAGACACTGAAATTGGTTGCAACCCAGTTTGCCTATATTTTTATGTTATTTGAATTTTAAATTGGTATTACCTGAAGAGGCTGCCTATTTGTTATATGTTCGCTTACAATTCATAACACACAATGTATTCTGTCAAGTGAGTTCGAATAATTACCTGCAAAGATAAATAAATTATATCCATTAGAATTAATATAATAAAACCAATCAGTTTAATGTCGGGAACCGTTTATTAAATATCCATATGACACTATAAATTATATCCATTAGAATTAATAAATAATAAAAACAAGCAGTTTAATGTCTTGAACCGTTTATTAAATATCCATATGTCAGAAGATGGCACTCTAGATCTTGAATTCCTGCAGGTCAGTTACAAGGTCCATAATTCGTCTCAATCACGCCTCGCAACGTCGGCATACAAACATGCCAAAAACCATGCCCAATCCGAAGCAGATGACATAGGCCATTATGTTTACTGCAGAAGGGATATTCATATAGTAGAACTAAGGACAGAGAATTCAATTCACAAATGCTTACACGGGTATTCTTGGCGACGAGGAAACCAACGATTCCTCCAACAATGAAAGTGATAAAGCGTTGCATATTTTCTAATAGAAATAGAATCTCAGCGGATTTGAACGCAAAATTTTGAATATTTTAGAGTACACGAAACGTACAGGTCAAGTAGAATGCCGACTGTGGAATACATTTACTTTTGACTTTAGAAAAGCAAAAGCAAAGCCGACTGATTACTTATTTGAACATTCAACCACTTTAGACCAGCGGTCGGACAGAATGGCGATTTGCTGGCGCTCTGCCGGCACACCGCTGAGGTTTTTATGCATACAAATACATATTGAATAGAGAAAAAACTCACAAATAGTATTTTAACTGTGTGGTGGGGTGTGTCGTCCTTTGTTTTAGACTCACATTTTTCTAGTCCAATTTGTAAAAACCGCATCTATGTATGCTGCGATACTAGATATCCAACAATACAGCCAATAATAAATACCAGAAGCCACTCCATGTTTGTTAAATAATATATATAGATTTCAATAGCCAATTTTAAGTTTGAATAAAACAAAAAAAATTCAAAGACTTTCGCAGCAAAGCCAACTAACTAGATTACAAAACTAAAAACCTATTTAAACAAAATAAACCTTATTTTTTAGTTATAATATTTATTTAGCCATATTTCTTGATAAATTTATGATAATTTCAGCTCAAAGGGACGAGGGATGTTAGCATCTTCGGCAGCTCATCATTCCAATAATCACTCCCAGGGCAAAGGAGATAACGTGGGTCATGTTGCTTCTTTGATTTTGATTTGGAAAATGCTGAAAAGATTTGATACCAGCAGTGAAGATTTTTCATCCAATATTGGAATCCAGTCGAGAATTTCTTTACTTTAAATTTTAGGTATTCCTGGCCACCACGTATCCTACCAAACAGCCAACTAGAAATGTGATCACCCAGTCAACATCCATTTTTGCCAAAAATAATCAGTTAATGTGAAATTCGAAAAAGCTAAGCAGAGTATGGAAAAAATTAGTGAGCAATTTGCCAAGGCCTACTGAAAAATGCATTAAGGTTCTTACCTTTTTTAATGATTTTTCCCTATCAAGTAGCCAACAATACAGCCCACAATAAAGGTTAGAAGCCACGAGTTATCCATAATTAATGGCCCAGAAGTAGCATGAATACTGGTTTAGACTTTCCAAAAATTTGAAGGTATTTGTTTGAGAAAACTGTTTTAACAAGACATAAATAGCAATGAAGTACAGATATTTTAAGGCTGTACTTATATTTTAGCGTTTTAAGCGGGAGTCTTAAAATATTATTTATTGCAAAAAACTGACTAATACCAATCTACCGAGTATTACTCGTAATTAACTACTTACTTGTATTACTTGTAATTAAAAAGAAACATGGATAGGATAACGATGCTAATAAAATTCAAGACGATTTTGTGGGCATTTTTAGACAGAAATAATTATTTACTAAGTAGTGTATGAAGCTAACGTCAAATGCTTTTCTTAGATGTTAAAGCACTGAGAGCACTCACTGCTCAAAATTCTCGATTTGGCTAACATCATTTTTTTCGAAATTTTTTTGGTGTAAAATTAAAACGTTTTATTAGGGACCCTCTGTTTACCAGGACATCCATTTCAAATTCCGTTCAATATGTGCGACAAGCCTGCCTGCCCCCCGCCCCCGCGATGCTGTCCACCTCCGCCGCCCCCTTGTCGACCCCCGCCCACTCTGTGGCAGAAGATAAACTGCGTGCCCTGTAACCGATTCTTTTTCTTCCTGATCGGCGCGGGCATTGGCCTCTATTGGGATCACATGAAGAAGGAGGCCCAAAAGGCGGCTGAGGAGGCCAACAAGTCGCCCAAGGAGAAGGAGAAGGAGGCCAAGGAGCGCGAGAAGAAGCAGAAGGAAAAGGAGAAGGCCGACAAGGAGAAGGCCGAGAAGGAGAGGAAAGAAAAGGAGAAGGCCGAGAAGGAGAGGAAAGAAAAGGAGCGGAAGGACAAGGAAAACAAGGACAAGGGCAAGGAAAAGGGCAAGTAACGCTGAAGAGCACCAAAACGGTGATGTCCCGAACAAGGATGCTTTGCCCCGAAATTCGTATCACCTGCCAATCATTTCTACAATTACGAAATTTCAAGTGCATTAAATGGACGACTTAAAAATTACTATTGGTCAGTGCTTTTTTATAAAATATAATAAAAGGGTTATACATTTACCATACCCTAATACTTCCAGATTAAAAAAGAACATAAAGACGGATTTCAACTGAAGAGAAATGGCCACGCGAAAGACAACCATCTAGTGAGAGCCCTAAAATGTCTCGATGGGAAATGCATTTAAACTCGAAAGATAGTCAAAAAAAAATACACGAAACGTAATGTTAAAACTAACAAGTTTGAACTTTTTACTGTAAGGGTTTCTGTTTCATTTCTTCGGAAATACATTTGAATTGAAAAAAACTCACGGCTACCCGAATATTTAATAATTACCAAAATGCTTGCAGTTTTCTGATTAACGAATACATGAATCGTTATGTCTAAATCAACAATTATGATATTTATTCGGTTTAATTAAATCTACACTAATTTCCATTGATAGCCAACAGTCGTACAAATTGAAACATTGCGTTTGAAGTTTCCCAAAACCTCGGTTATTATTGGTTCTTGATTGTGATTGTGATTACAAACTCCCAAGCGGTTGAAATGTATGCAATAATTTTTATTTAGAAACGGTACGTTGCCCAGGTGTATCGAAAGTTCCCTTTGTGGTGCTATATGTTTTGGTTTCAAGCTTTTGGTAATAAGGCTTGACAACTTCTTAAACGATACCGCCCAATTAATTTCGATTTAGAAATTATGATCCGTGTACAGCACCAAATTTACATTTGTTTTCAAAAGTGGAATAGAGAATAGATCAATCGAAGAAATCCGTCTATTATATGGTGGGTAGTTGTTCGATTGACAAATTGCTCTATAGATAAATTTATCGACAGAAATTTCATGTTCATTGATACTTCGGCGGACAAACTTATCGAATGGCATTTGTCTTGGTCGCTTTGGCCACTTGATTGAAGGTGTTCCAGAAGTTGCAATATCGATCAGATTGGATAGGATGAAATCCCACTGGCCGAGATGGATTGTCGTTACTTCTTGCCCTTGCCATCGACCTTCTTCTGGTCCTTGCCCTTGTTGTCCTTGTTGCGCACGAAGAGCACGCCCAGTCCCACCCCGATCACGAAGAACAGGACGCGGTTGCACGGCGTACAGTTGAGCCGGGCAAGGAGCGACGGCATCGGCCGGCACACCCTCCGGACATCGGTACGCTTACAACAGGGCATGGCTCCAAAAACTCGAAAGGATTCGCCTCAATTTGGACCGGAATTTTGTTTGCTAGCGGGAGTTGTCTGAAAACCAAATACGGTAAAAAATTTTTGTACAAACCGAAAGTTTGATCTTTAAGTAGTGAAGTCGAATTTAAACTGAGCTTTGTCAGGGTGCCGGCTTGACAGGTTGCCAACTGGCTTGAAGTACCCGACTCGACTACTAGATTTAATTTTGATTATCATTTATGTCTTGCAATGCTAATTAATACCCACCTAAATCGATTGAGATTCCAGCTTCTGCAGATATTGTTTGGGGGGTAGGGGGAGAAGTACTCTACTTCTTCTTTTCCTTGCCCTTATCCTTGCCCTTATCCTTGCCCTTATCCTTGCCCTTGTCGTCCTCGGGAAAAGTCTTGGCGTACCACAAACCCACTAAGACGCCCGCGAAAATCGACGACAATCGCTCGCACATCAAATGCATAGTGTTAATAAAGTTTTTCAAGGATAGCCTCGAAGTAACTAAGAAATTCAAGATTTACGCAATTTGGAAATTTTTCAGATTCATGGAAGTTTACTGGTGCGGCCAAAACGGATAACTGAAAAATGTCACAGCCCGAAATTCCAAAGCACTTAAACCCAAAGCTCACCGCCTGCTTTGAAGCACTTTCCATACAATTAAAATTATTGGTTTCGGCGCACACTTAATTAACTGAAAGATTACAAAGGCCAATTTAATTAGCTGGGATTACGTGTATCCCCGGGCTGTGAAAATGCGAAATTAAGGCACCATTTTACCACCTGCGTTGGCAACTCTTACCGAAATTCGTGCTTATTTGTATCGCATGTAGCACAACAATGGCTCCACATGCTGCAAAGGACATGACTCGGCTAAAAGTCAAGCAGTTGTGGGGAAAAACCACAGGAGAAAGAACAAATTTACCCATAAAAAAAAACACAAAAGGATTTGACTTGTGCACTTTAAATTGTACTTTTTTTTGCCACTTGCATAACCCAATTGTAACAGAAAATCTTGGAGAGTTCTTTAATACAATGCGCATCTTTATTAAACTGCCAAAATGTTCATCAGAATATATCAACTGGGCGGAATCGTAATAAAAAAATGGTCTTAATCATATGAAGCATGGCAGCCGAGCTTTTCTTGCAGTATTACCTCAAGAATTTTAAGTTTGGCCTTTAATGTTTCTGATTGCGTCCTCGACGTTTGAATTCTGCTCATGTCTACTAGAACGTTTACGAGTAACTAAAAGAGAAATTTGCCTATAAGTTTCGCACATACGTATCATATCAGCTAAAAGGAGCTCTGATTCCACCCAGTTTAGCCATTTTCTTAACTCTTGTCCTTGCCTTTCTCCTTCTCCTTCTCCTTCTCCTTCTCTTTCCCCTCGTCCTTTCGCTTTTCCTTGGCTTTGTCCTTCTCCTTACTGCCGCCATCGTCAGCTTTGGACGCATCGCAGGGGAAATTCTTTGCATACCAAACCCCGACCATTGAACCAGCGGTCAGAGCGGCAAGTCTGTCGCAAAGCATTCGCATTTTAGAGAGTTAAAATAAAGCTTGGGGTTAAAAAATAGAAGAATTTGGAAGACTTAAAATTTGAGATACAAGAGGTGCACTACTTTCTGATCGATTTTCCTTATTCAAACCCAAGCAACACAGCCTACTATGGAGTCATTTATTTTTACCTTTATTAGTATTGTTTAGTGGGTTTAAGAATTTATACGAAATAACCATTAAATAATTTGGTTGGCGCTACTGAAAAACTCTTGCACTCCGTAGATGGGGTTTCCGATCTCACACTTTCTTGACACAACCACATTTTTGCAAAGTGACTTGCGAAAGCGCTTTTACAACCAAACCACACATCAACCAGTGAATCCGTCCCCAAGATTGCAAATGTGCTTCGATGTCATGAGCAGCAGGCAAAACCGAAAATGTGTGGCTTGCCTTAAAATCCCTCTTTGCTCCCCCATTTAAAATACTTCGGCAATCTTTTTCACCGCTTTGGAAATTCACTCACCTGAGAATAAGGCCAAAATCACAAAATATTGCTTTTAATGTATCCCTTCTTATTCGATTGACATTAATTTATTTTATTTAAAAGCTATAGATTTTAAATTTTATCAATTAAACGATTTAATAAAGCTTACGAAAGAAAACCTTTTCTTCTTATTTTTGTATTTTAAGCTTTTTAAAATAAACTTGTTATAATCCACTTCTGGCTTTTAACAGTCGTTATTCAATCACAAATGTAGGTCGACACCATTGGCGTACTTGATTAATGCTTAAAAGTTGTTTCCAATCTAATTAAAAAATTCAATGCTTAAGATAAATAAATTATAATTTAATATGCGCAATCGGATCCTATTGTACACCGTTTGTAAAAATAAATCCCCACATTTACATTTACAATTACGGGACTCCGGAATCGCTTGGGTGTCCACTCACCTGGGGATCTGCAGCGCGATCTCGTCCAGACTGTCCGACGGACTCATGGGCGTGCGCTCGAAGAGGCGCGAGGGGGCCAGGGTCAGGTGGCCGGTGGAGTCGCTGACACACTTGAAGACCTTGGCCCCCCGCCGCTGGCGCTGCTGTTGGCGCTGCTGCTCCACGCGCTTCTTGCGCTTGTTCTCCTCGGCGCGCTGCAGGTTATGCAATCGAAAGAAGAACATTGACATTCTGCGGATGGGTGGTTGGTTGATTGTTTGTTTGATTGGTTGGTTGTGGGTGGGTGGCAGATGTTATGACGAGTTGATTGCAGAAATAATTTCGATTGCAGTTCCAATGTTTGTTTTTTTTAGCGGGTCGATTTTCCGTTGATTTTCGCGGCGATATTGTGCACAATGTTGCGATTATTGTTGTTAAGGGAGTTTTACATTTTTGGTTTTTTTCACGTTCAGTTTCAATAATTTTGGTAAGCATTTCATTTTGGTTGATTTCAGTTTTCATTGTCATCAAAAGCGTGTATTTTGTGAAGCATATGGTAAAAGCACATCCAATTTACAGATAAATTTTTTGATTGGTTTTTCTTAAGTGAGTGGGTAAGTGTTTTTTTAGGGAGCTTTCTGTACTTAAAAGCAGTAAACTATATTTACAAATACAACAAACAAAGGCATAAATAAATACATGGTAGTCTATTTGGTGAAATTTTTTAAAAAGCAATCATAGGCAATATAGTTTTTTCTGTGCCCTTAAACTTATTACATTTTTTTGCTAATGAAAATGTTTTAACCATAATTGGGGAAAAAAAATTGATCACAACTATTTCAAGATTACAATAACAAACAGATGGCCAGGGGATCCAAATAAAACATCAAATTAATATTTAAATGACACTCAGCAGCATTTTAGTCCAACAGCTTAAGGAAACACACCACATTTAATTCCAGCAATCCCGAGATTACAAAAGCAAACTAAAATGGCAAAACTACATAAATCAAATAGAGAGCCATACGCTCGAGGGAACAAACCAACTTCCGTAGTATCAATCAAATTTAAAGTCCAAAAGAAATTTTATTTACCAAAAATGAGAAAAACTTTAGAACGGACAGAGGGCAGCAACAAACTGGCAACTGTCCGCAAACGGAGGACTCAAAGCTAAAAAAGCTGAAATGCTCTTTCCATTCCGGAAATTGAAATATGAACCGCATTCTGGGCCAGATGTCCCTTCGAAAATGCTACACAATGTCCTTGAGAACGGCAGGAAATGGCGGAAGTTCTGTGAGTAAGCCAGATTTGCCCGGAATTTAAAGCTGCAGCTCTCGTTACTTTGATATTTCTTATGCACAAGGCCAAAGGCAATTGGGTTGGCAAATTGATTGATTGATCGGCTGCAATCAGCCTGCTTGCAAATATATTTGCCGGGAATCAACCGATTCTCTTGTCATCAGCTCGAGATTTCCGTTCAATTAGCCAGCGAATTCCCTCCTTAATGAGCCTGGCGAAGTGAGAGCACCCGCTTGTGTCAAAAATAAATGAATCGAAATTTGCATAAATTTGTTTTGGTCTGAAGTCATTGGCGCGTCGTCTGCTTCAATACTCCAAACACTCTAAATGATTGCGTTCACGAAACTTAATTATAAAAGCCAACAGCAAACAAGCGAAGGGTGTGGGGTAGACCAATGGAAAATGCGATGAACTGGAACAAAAACGAACACTCTGCATAATCATTAGCTAGTCTTCGTAGACAGTTTGATTTGGCTAATTTCAGGGGTACATGCAAAATTTGGACAATTTTACAGTATTAAACACCAGGAGTAAAAACAAAATATTTCAAATCCAGAACGCATAGCAACAAATATGTATTTATACTTTATTTGCAAGTTTTATTTCTTAAAGAAAAACAATACAATTAAAAATATATGTTTGGCAAAATCCAAGTTTAAGGTGTACCATTTAGGAAACCAATATTAATATATACAACTACTTCAAAAATTGTAGTGCAACAAAAATGTAAAATTAAATCAAAATTATAAAAAAACGAAAAAAAAACAAGTTATAAAAGGAAAAAGAATTTCAACATTTCACTTTTTAAACAATTGAAACAATTAAGCCCCAATAAACATTTCACACTATACAATTGGCTTATACAGCATTGTTAATAAAATGAATTAATCCAGCATGTGTAAAAGCCATTTTGTACACTATTATGAATTATCTTTAAAGAATCATTTAAAACAAAACATTTTAATGCTGACTCAGCTGCACATATAATCCCCTACATTTGTTATAGCCAAGAATTATGGAGCTCCAAAGCAAATTACAGAGAATATCAGAAAGAGCGGCCACAAATGCGGAAAGCGAAAGTAAGTTTCTCTTTACCAGTGGCAGTTCATCATCAGTTGTCTTAGTAGGGTAATACCCCAATTTGAACTAATAGCGTTCTTACACTGCCAATTTTTCATCAACAAATTAGAACAAGATCCAACAGGTTTATATAAGTATAATGATAATAACAAACAACTTGAGCGTTTCCCATGTCAAATTGCCTTTTTATATTGTTGTTTCTTTTTTTTTTAAAGAAACACAAAATTCACAGTCGATTACATTATATTTAAAAGCTTGGACAATTAAAATTTCACGGGAACAGTTAAAGCAAATGGAAATTTGTTCTGTCAGTTAAAGTTACTATGAGAAACACTGCAGGTGTGTTTTTGTTTATTTCTTGTTTAAATGCAGTGCAATCTTTTTATAAACGTCCAGGTAAGATTGAGATTTTTCAGGAAGACTAGAATTTCAAACAAGGATCTATATTCATTTTAGGCGTAAACTACTGTACTCTTGGAGTGGTGCTTCTAAAACATCGAGTAATGTGCGAGCCCCTGCGTTCACTCTGGGTTCTTAGAAATGGAAAATGCAGGGAGGCTCTTCATTGCATTGATGGATACTCGAAAAAAGAATGTGAGACGAATTGCATTAATAAACAGCAATCAAAACCTGAATCGAAATCCAAACATAAACATATACTTAGTCTCAAGTCAATACCGCAGGCCGTATCTATAATAACTTGTGCAACAACCATTGCTGAAATTAAAACTACAACTAAGCAGTATGAAACATCAACAGGGGCGGATTTATCTTCGACTAGAGAAACTAGAAGACCCAGAAGAACTCGAAGAACTAGAGTTTTTACGATCAAGGAGATATGCTAATTAAGTATTTTCACAAAATAAATACATTTTTCAAACGATATTTAAAAGAAGTTCAAATAATCTACAATCATACTTGTTTGACAGCCTTGTAAATTGTGATACCCAACTCTCAATGTGCATTAATGCATAAATAATATATGGGTAACACATTTAGTTAAATTAATTTATATCAATTTAGGGAGCTTAACATACATACATTAAATTTCAAGAGCTGAACAGCCTTCTAATTGGGATTATTTATGAAGCGTTTTAGTGCGGAACCCATAAGCTCTCCCAAATTAGCAAATCATTTAAATAACATTAAAATCCCTATCAGGCCGAAGGGAGGACATGCTTCAGTTCTACCCTAAAAAGTATTTTCACGTCCATTGAAAATCGTCGTAAAAAAGAAACGAAGGGCAGGCGAACAATATGCGATGTTTTCGCAAAGGCGAACAATGCCGATGCAGGAACCGAAAAAAGCGAACCGAAAGCAATAATCATTAGGCCAACAAAGGACTCTCCCCTGCCACCATTTCCTATCGGGTTGAGTGCGTTGTCAAACGCTGACCAGGCAAAAAAAAAAAAAAAAGAAAAAAATACAGCTCCAGCGAAATGCCAAAATAAACACTTGTCGCTGACGAAAAATTTGGTACGGTGGTGGCTTAGGTGGTTTTCCCAACCACAAAAGCGAATATTTTCCAGCTCAGCACGCGTTTAGGCGCTGGTGCGTGCCTCGGTCCTGGAGACCATTAGCCTGGTGAGTGGGAGGTACTATATTTGTAAGGAACACCAACACACTGGCGAGGACCCACAGACGAATGGCAGACAGGATACGATCTTTTCACGGTCTTTGGCACGGCCTGACTTGCCCCAGCCCGAGATACGTAATAAAAATGTAGACAATTTTTACGACACTGCCCGAACAACACAAGTGGACATTCCGCTTTTATTTCTTCATTAAAAAGCAGTATTGATTGCCCACCAGGAGGTTGTGAGGGCGGGTCATCCGCAGAGTGCCCACAGGACCTTTATACATCCATACTTTTATTATAGTTTGCCACACAATGGGGCTTTGTCAGTGTAGTCGTTATTGGGATTTCTCTGCAGTTCCCACTCTGTATTTGATTTATCCATATTGAAAGTCATATCTGTCGCTGGCTTTTCATCTTTTGTATGCTTTAGGGTAAGTACTTTCATTTTAACTGAAATTAAAGTCGAGTTTTTTTCACGTTAATTAGTATATAAAATACGTTTTTCGTTTTAGTGGGCAATCGTATTGGAATAAACCATGACTTTAATGTCCATTAACTGATTGTCCAGGTTTTGTAAATTGATCCCTAATGTGTGAACAATTTTTCAAAGCCAACTAACGACCCCCCATTGACCCATTTTTCGCCCACCTTTGTAATGAATGGCATAACTATAATAACAGGCTTAATTGGCCTGACTGCAAGCCTATAAAATAGGCCATGAAACAGCTGCACTTTGCTAGTTTTCAAGATGCGTCCAACCAACTCGCAATTCTATAGTGCACTGACAAAGTTTACGGCTCTTAACGGGCTGAACACTTACTATTTCAACTCAAAGAAGAATGGATTTCACGGCACCTGGAAGTTAAAGATGTACTGTCTGATCCACCATGTACTCTGCGTTTTGGCTTTGGGACATATGTTTTATGACTCGGCTGGCAGTATGCGATTAAGTGTCACCATTCTTACGCTGGGCGGAACTACTGTCTTCTGTATGCAGTCATGCTGGGAAAAAAGTCAAGGACTGCGAAAGTTTGCCAATGGTCTTATACAAATGGAGCAGAAATACTTTACGGGAAAGCCCAGCGGATCGAATTTAAGAAACCGATTTTACATGAAAATGTTGTTTGTGGTGGTGACCCTAATAAGGATCCATGTTTTGTATCCCATCTATCTGAGGCGACTGCTTCCCGAACATTTGTATCTCAATGTGGGATCTTGTTGGCTACTCTACAACATGATGCTAGCTGCTGTCCTTGGATTCTACTGTTCTCTTTGGCAGATTTGTCGAATCCATAAGCTGATAAATGATCAGATGACGTTGATTTTAACTAAATCGAGACAGATTAATCGCGTGAGGAAGATGGCACACTGCCTCAAACTCTATTCTGAAGTTCTGGAGCTTTGTGACCAATTCAACTACGAATATGGACATATTTCGGTGTGCGTTTTGGCCTGCAAGAGTTGGTTTCAGATAACCTATGGTTACGAGATATTCCAAATCGTGGCTGCCCCAAAATCTTTAGACTTGAGCCTGCCCATGAGAGTGTTTGTGGTTTTCAGCTACATTTTGGATGCTTTAAATCTGTTCTTTGGAACTGACATCGCTGAATTGTTTGCCACGTTAAGAGCAGACTCAAGACGCATTCTACGAGAGACATACCGAATGGATCGATTGGTAAGTTCATAGCTGAATTGTCCTTTCTTATTTTAAAATTAAAACAAATGAATTGGCAATGTAAACTTGTGAAAATTCAGTACATTTTATGTTGGGCGGCTTCTTTTGTGTCTTAAAAAATTAATTAAAGGAAGTTTTAAAGCTTTTTTTTTAATAAGAAATATTTTTTTTGTTGAGGGGGAATGCAAAATTACTTAAAAAATTACTGGCCATTAATAAAAGTGTCCTAAACTTCCTTTTTGAACTCTGATTTCAGCTCTCAATGTTCACCTTGAAGCTGGCCCTGCATCCCAATCGGGTCTTCTTACTCAACCTGTTTAGCTTTGACCGAAAACTGACTCTGGCACTCATTGCCAAGTCGACTTTGTACACAATCTGCTGGTTGCAAGACGACTACAAAAAACTCAAGCCATAGACCGTCGAAGCTTCTTTCAGACCAAATCCTTCGATTCAAAGAGTTTATCATACCATGCACAAGAGTTTTTCTGGCGTGTCAGCACAAAGCAAAAACCAAGGCACATGCACAACTTCAACCAATACAAACATTTACATATATGTATTCAGTAAATATATAATGGAAAAAATCAACTACAATGCATCCAAATCCAGAGCCACAGACCAAGGAGCTGTCTACGATGACGATTGCTTTGATGTTGATGTGAAAGGATTTGCTAAGCTTGGTTAAAAAACTAGGTAGAAATAAATGATACCCTGTGCAGAGTTCGTGTATAGTTTAGTTTTAATTTTTGTTCACCTGTATTCTTTTCTCATTTTAATCTAAGGTGGTATTTGAACTTGTTACCAAATAACGAATAATGTATGATCCCAGGCCATATTTACTTTTAGCAATGTTAGTACGAATATTTCATTCAATTTAACTATTCTATTATTTATTAAACTATGCTTCAATTTCGAGAGCTCTTTGTTTCTGCTTATATAGTTTCACCGAAACCTAATATCCCATTCTAGGGTATTTTCCGACAACATCCGGCGACAACAATGGGTTCCAGTCTTTACTTTGCGGGTCATTGTGAGTGTGTGTTGCCACAGAGTGAACATTTTAATTTGATTTGCCATGAATGAAGCCAGCTGCAGGTGCGGTGTGAAAATTGTCGAGCAAATATAAATGAGAAATGAAAACCGAATAGATGATAGGGTGGGCGAAATCAAGGATAAACAAAACTTACTTGTGGAAACCAATTAGCTAACTTGTAGTTACGAACGCTACTTAATCGGCTGCAGTTGTTGATGCTGCCATTGTGGCTATTATTATTGTTATTATTGTTGTTGTCATTGCCGCTGCCACTGGGCGTTTGGTCTAAGTTGCTGCTGATCATCTTGCAGAAGGACTCTCGCAGGATGGCAATATGTCGTGCTAGGAACTCATGGACACACAGACAAGGACACAGACACAAACACAGCAGCCACATAAATGCATAAGGAACACTGATAGACACATAAACAGATCTACGAAAGTACAGCAAGGAAAGCTCCCAGGAAAGATTGTTGATGTGTTGCGTTTTGTTCTGGTAATTAGTAGCTGTTAGTTACCTGAAAGCAATCTTTGTTTGCCCGGCCTAAATGCTGTTTATCGACAATAATATATTGTAAATGTTTGCTAGTTAATTTATATTTAAATAGGTTGAATATGTTTATAGCACAGTCTACAGTTTACACGTTCAGTTACACATTACACACGAGAATTGACAGCAAAATTCGAGTTTGGTTTTGCTCCTTCCGCTCTTAGTTGACTAGTTTAAAGCTTTTACCAAGTTTGTATTCCATTCTGGTCATATGTACACTTAAAGCTAAAGGCTAAATTTAAATGTTCCTAGATTAGATCCATATAACCGATACTGTTTGGTCTACGTTTTGTTTACAAGCACAAGTCTCACATTGATTTTTACAGCATAGAAGAGTTTTACGCGTTTTGGTCCGCACAGTTGTTGGATTAGGTATTTGTTTATTTATTACTTAGTTATTAAATGTATTTGGTCAGTTGCTGATACGTTGTTAATGTGAGTAAATAAAGCTGATTTTCTTGGACTCCTGTTGATATTTATTGTTTCTTCCGTTCGTGCTGCGAAAGAGAAATATAAGCGGATGCTGGGGAAAACAGAAACTATTGCCGGTCCGCATCGACTCAAGTGTGCTGGGCGATTGCCTCTCCCGGGAGCGACTGAAACATTTGCTTGCCCAACGAAATTATGGCCATGATATTTTGCAAATAATAAAAGGAGCAAAGGCGAAAAGGAGCCAGCAAAGCAGCAGCCAAGAAAGGACACCCATTGAGAGAGGAGTCGCATGGAGGCCATTTCTTAAGCTTCAAATGCGTGCCAGGCAGCAATTTTGCCATCTTTTGTGCCACTTAGACCGGGCCACTTGCCATTTGCCATGCTGCTTTCCATTGGCCACTTGCCTCGGCCCTGGCTGCAGCCACAATAATTTAATTCTCAATCCCCAAGCTCGGTGCTGATTAAATTTAACCATTCTATCGGCTAAAAGCTCCAAAAATGAAGTATACGTATATAATATGCTTAATTAATTAATTAATTTTGACCAAAGTCAAGCGCCCAATCTCCTGAAAAACGACACCCAGGTGCCCATCTGCCTAGCTGCTCGCTGCCTAAATATAGAAGTTGCCCCCCCAAAACGAAAATCAATATGTGATACACTGAAAATTGCTCATACGCCAGGTGTGCGCTGACGACGTAAAGGTAATGAAATTTCTTTGATTATTAGTTTTGTTGCAGTTGCAAGTGACAAAAAACGCGACATCTAGTCAACTCGCACATGCAATATGAGACGTTGGCGTTGGCCTCCTTTGCCCCTGTTTGGAAATTGAATTTATGGCCAACACACATACGCGCACACATACACAACAGCAGCTGCTGCCTGGACAGTTTACACACATTTCGTGTTTGGCAAACTTTTCGGTTTGGACCACTATAAAGCAACCCAGAAAACCCCAATCCAAGCCAAGGAACTTTCCCCATCAGCCATGAGCGTATAAGTTTATCCCGGGGCTTCTGCTTTTCGCATCAGCTATCTGGCTACGATTTTTTATGCCAAAAGTTCAAAGCAATTTTTAAAGATCAAAATGCCAAACGGAGACGCCGGTAAAGGACATGGAGCAAAGAACTGAAGGACCAACGGACCAGTTAGAAGCCGCCAAGGGACCAAGGACCACTTTCGAAGGAGAAGCCACAGAGAAATCATTTCATTTCAATTTATTTTCCCATTTCCATTGTTTTCCCTGGTAGTTACCACTGTTGTTGTTTCGTCTTCAAATCCAAATTTGTTTTGCTGTGTTGGCATTTTCACACCGCACAACCACAGGGTGGGCAATTTTCCAACAGAAATCAGAGATTACACAAGATAATTCGACCAAATTACATGTATTTGTCTCTATGGATGTTTATTTTGCTGTGAATAATTACAGACTTGGTTTTTACTTTTGAATAATTTCTCTTCGAACTCGATAAGAAGTAAGCACAGAGGAAATGTCAATGAAGTGTCTCTAATTGACTGAGTGCCAAAAAGTTGTGGCATAAAAGTAATTTAAACTCACAAAGACACAAGAATTACAATATTGAAGTCTTATCCTTAATTTCCTATTATCAAAGTTTTGTCTATCATTAAAGTTTTTCTTAAATCAAGATTACTTAAAATTTCCCGCAAACAAATTTCTGACTTTAATTAGCTTTTAGCCCATAAATTGTGACACTATTTTTAGCGCTGCAAAAAAGGTTGAGCTCATTAATCACAAACATGCCGGCTCTTAGCACAAAAAAGATACGACATAAAAGTAGCAACGAACTTAGCAATGCTCTTTGTAAGGGCCAGTAATTGTGGAAAATATTTAGAGAAAATTAAATTTAACAATATGTAATTCTACACTCATAAAAGTAACATAAAAAGTATTTGAAACATTTGAAGAAGCCAAGTTGTCGTATTAGTTAGATATGTATTTATGATCACACAGAATTATGCTAAAGAACCAGCCAAATAAGTAATAAAAACCTGGGTGGCAATTATGAAAAATCTCACCAAAGTGGAAACTATGCTGAGGGTGTTTGTCAGCGCAAATTAATGCTTACGGGGAGTGGCGACCAGGGCAGAATGGACCACTACTTGGCCAAAAAAAGAAAAGGTGACGGCAGTGTGAAAGGAAAACGGCGCCACTTACTTTAATTGCAGCCAAGTTACCGAGGTCCTGAGCCCCGTGTCAGATTCGTGACGACCAAATACACAAAGGAGCCAGAGCCAGGGCGTCTCGAGTAATTAAAGCACCACAGCGCACCGCATCCATTGCAACAATGCGGCTGGGGCGGTGTTAAGTTGGCCAAAATGCCCCTGCATTGTTGGGTGGCATTTCACGCTTACGGTTTCGACATTTTCGGCACTCAATTGAGCAATTTTAACTGACAGAACGGTAGCCCAAAAGGGCTTTATTGATTACCGGCTGCCATTCAGGCAGTCTTCTTCTCTTTTTCGTCCTTTGACTTGGCTCATAATTGGCCTGGCACTAGCTAAGTGCTAACCGTTTCGCAACAGGGCCGTTTAGCTCCAGTTGCGTTTAGTTTAGTTACTTTTATACGAGTTGCCACCGCACTGGGGACGGACCCACTCTCCCCGCGGAAGGGGCAAATGGAAAGCTTATGAATGTTTAAACAACTTTCAATTGCGAGAAAAGTTTTCAATTTTCGTTGTAACTTTTACTCGCTCGCCATGGCAATGCATTAACAAACTTTAATTAATATGAGCGAAGGGGCGTGGGGCTATCGATTCGATTTGAATGTGTTGCCAGCTTGTCTAAAAGTTTTCGCTTAAAAGGTTCCCCCGAGCAACAAGTTTTTAACTTTTCTCAAAAACAGAGGCAATGTGATTTTGTTAAAAGCTGAGTGAGCTGATAATATGTATTTGAACTGAGCAGTTCATTAAATTTATATGGGTACTTTTAATAGGAGAAAGTTTTTTAGCAAGCAAAATCCACATAAGCGATAAACGTGCCGTGTACTGGCTTTAAACCTTTGTCCTGACTTAAATATTTAAGATCAGTTATCGTTACGAACCCTAGGCCAACCGCATACCTATAAATAAAGAAATCAGTATACATCTCAGCATCTCAATTTCACATTTTTGTCCTTTGCAACTTCTTCAAGGTGTTCTTTTCTTGATGTTTGGTGTTACAATTTCATATTGACAAGTTTAAGCACTCCCGGGCGGTATACGATTACAGCTGGATGTCTAACCCAAATACTTTGACGGCACTTTGCTGTTACATCTTGCCCACTTTGCATACGTTTGTCAAATCCAATCGAAACCCATTTCGCCCGACATTGCGGATCTGCTGAAATTTGAGACTCCCCGTGAATATCTAACGAAACCAAGCGAAACATAGCAGGAAACCCTGCTGCGGCTGGGCGATTAGCAAACAAGATGGTGTGTCGCAGGGTGCGACTTATCCGACGGAGGTGAGGGTTAGCTCGCATAAAAATGCAATGCGTTGCCTGGAAACGGTAAAAATGTGTCACCAAGGGATAGGGAAAGAGTCCATTGCCGTCTGAAAGAGGATGCAGTACAGCAGTGTAGAAGTATAGCAGTATAGCAGTATAGCACTACAGCAGTATAGGACAGGGAGCACTTGGCCCGGCAACTCGTATTCGCCCAACGTTCACTGGGTAAAAACGCAAAATGACTTTAAATTGAGAAATCGCTTTGTGTGCGCTCTGTTCGGTTCGATTCCGCTGTGTTGTCGCTACGTGCCACTTGAATGCCACTCCAAAGGCAGGGGGACAAATGAAGTTATGCAGTTATTTCATTGATTTCCTCTGTACAGGCCAATAAAGACTGTCCTTAGTGGCGCCCAACGTGGGGCATGGCCGGGTGCACTTACTGACGCCCAACGTGGGGCATTTCAGAATGAACTTACTCAAATTAAGCGTGCCAAACGTGAATGCAAAAACACCTTCAGCTGCAACACACTTAAGCGGCAGAAATGAAGCTTAAGCGCCTTTCTGTCTACCAGAAATTCCATCTGCACTCCGCTTGAGTGACTTGATGCTGTCGACATGCAGCGCAAATGAGTTGGCTAATGTGACAGAGAGCGAAGAAGGCCAAAATTTGGACAAAAGCCAGACGAGAGACGTGGCCTTGACAGGTTGGAGCGGGTTTTATGGCTGATTTGGTCGCAGGCAAATGCATTTGCCACACATCAGCAGCCAAATGCGTTGCGCACGTTACTCATACGCCCCATAAACAATTTAAGGGCATGCATTAAAGGCCGCACTCCGTGCCACTCCCACCACTTCCAGCGAGCGCAAAAACATTCAGCTCATTAAATATTGAACACGAATTTATGACCAACTGGAAAATACACATAAACAGAGATAGCGACATACAGAGACAGTGAAAGCGAGATAGCGAATTCGCAATTTGAATTTAGTCCTGCGAATTCGTTGAGTTTGCTATTCCCCTAAGGAAAGCGAGGACTCATTATTATTACGCAATTTAAATTTTCTGAATGAATAAAAAATAACCCACAAGAACGCGAGGCGAGTTATTAATAAAATATGCCCCGGCCGCTTCACACCGATCCAATCCTATGCGAATTCCAAGAAAGTGCCTAACTCAATCAGCGGCATATGAAATTTCCCTCCAGGTTAGAGCCCAACAATCCCTGTACGTAATAAATTCAATTTACTTTAGCCAGCGTTTGTTTTGTCTGGCTGCGCGAAATGAAACACTTACAATTAATATTAATTTGCGCTTGGTCCGCAATATTTAATGCAAAAGTTTTGTGCACGTCAATTCGCATCAGGTCGGAGCGGCCACATAATTGTCACTTAAAAGCTTTCACATGCTCTCTCTTTTTTACTTATTTATCTTGCTTTTTTTCTCAATTATCCACCTGTCAGTTAGCATTACCACGTGAGAGCCGCAATCAATGTGATGTCGGAAATCGGGTAAATATGGCCAGAATCCGACAACTTTGGGCATATAAAAACGACATAGTCAATTGCATTATCTATGGATGTTGAGCAATCACTTGTTTTTTTAAATTAGCTATCTAAAAAT